GAGATAAGCCCAAAACTACAATATATGTGTGAGAGAGGACAAATCGAGGCCCGTCAAGATGGATATCAAGATTGAATTAAACCTGCTATTTTGAAACAGGACTGTCTAGTAGTATACTTGTTTTGTTTAGTTATCTTGTTTAGTTAGACAGCGCTCCGAGCTCAACACATAATTATCTGACACTATGTGAAAGTTACACTGCGGAACTTTAAAAAATAACCTTGACAGATCAACTGCGCAATATACCGGCTTATCGTCCCTGTTAAAACAGCATAGAACAAGGAAGTATTAGTGTTTGTGTATAAGTACGTACATGTAGATCAGCAATTACAACCAGGAATTGATCAGTTTACTTGGAGGGAAAGGGCTATAATAGAAGAAGGAGAGAAACAATGACTTGGTCGACAATGATAATACATCTGTATGTGTGCTTCTTTTGACAATCAGAAGTGTGGAGATACAGAGTTGACTTCCTAAAATCTCACCTCAAACATCCAGGTAAGATATAATGTAGTCACGCGAGAAAAGGTAGGGTGGCGTGGTGTGTGTAAGATGTGTAGGGTACAAGAGACGGTCCAGAGAGGTTGATGGGATGAGATGGGGTGGGTGGTGATTGTGGGAAAGTGTCCAACATATTTTTTGCAACAGGCAGCCCACAACAGTAGTTGAGTAAGATAGGGTTGGGTGGAATCCAGGAAGGTCTGTTTATCCTGTGCACAAGTATATCTAATTTCATAAAAAAAAGTGGGTCTTATTACCAAATACATATGTGTATATACCTGCAGTAAAGGTATGTTTCATTACACAATATACAAGTTTATCTAACTACAATACAGGTGTCTTGTTACTTACAACACATGTATATCTATCTGCAATACAGGTATGCCTTATTACCTAAAACACATGTATATCTACCTGCAATACAGGTATGTATTATTACCTAAAACACATGTATATCTACCTTCAACACATGTATTATCACCTAAAACACATGTATATCTACCTGCAGTACAAGTATGTATTATTACCTAAAACACATGTATATCTACCTGCAGTAAAAGTATGTATTATTACCTAAAACATATGTATATCTACCTTCAGTATATCTAGTACAGGTATGTATATTACCTAAAACACATGTATATACCTTACAACATGGATTAGTATCAAATGCACAGGTATATTATGGACCTAATAACACAAAACTACAATATATGTGTGAGAGAGGACAAATGTATAATTAGGCCTAAAACACATGTATATCTACCTGTCAAGATGGATATCAAGTATTGAATTAAACCTGCTATTTTGAAACAGGACTGTCTAGTAGTATACTTGTTTTGTTTAGTTATCTTGTTTAGTTAGACAAAACACATGCGCTCCGAGCTCAACACATAATTATCTGACACTATGTGAAAGTTACACTGCGGAACTTTAAAAAATTAATAACCTTGACAGATCAACTGCGCAATATACCGGCTTATCGTCCCTGTTAAAACAGCATAGAACAAGGAAGTATTAGTGTTTGTGTATAAGTACGTACATGTAGATCAGCAATTACAACCAGGAATTGATCAGTTTACTTGGAGGGAAAGGGCTATAATAGAAGAAGGAGAGAAACAATGACTTGGTCGACAATGATAATACATCTGTATGTGTGCTTCTTTTGACAATCAGAAGTGTGGAGATACAGAGTTGACTTCCTAAAATCTCACCTCAAACATCAAGGTAAGATATAATGTAGTCACGCGAGAAAAGGTAGGGTGGCGTGGTGTGTGTAAGATGTGTAGGGTACAAGAGACGGTCCAGAGAGGTTGATGGGATGAGATGGGGTGGGTGGTGATTGTGGGAAAGTGTCCAACATATTTTTTGCAACAGGCAGCCCACAACAGTAGTTGAGTAAGATAGGGTTGGGTGGAATCCAGGAAGGTCTGTTTATCCTGTGCACAAGTATATCTAATTTCATAAAAAAAAAGTGGGTCTTATTACCAAATACATATGTGTATATACCTGCAGTAAAGGTATGTTTCATTACACAATATACAAGTTTATCTAACTACAATACAGGTGTCTTGTTACTTACAACACATGTATATCTATCTGCAATACAGGTGTGTCTTATTACCTAAAACACATGTATATCTACCTTCAGTACAGGTATGTATTATTACCTAAAACACATGTATATCTACCTTCAGTACAAGTATGTATTATCACCTAAAACACATGTATATCTACCTGCAGTACAGGTATGTATTATTACTTAAAACACATGTATATCTACCTGCAGTACAGGTATGTATTATTACCTAAAACACGTGTATTATTACCCAACATGGATTAGTATCAAATGCACAGGTATTATGGAGTTAAGCCCAAAACTACTATATGCGTGAGAGAGGACAAATCGAGGCCCGTCAAGATCGATATCTAGATTGAATTAAACCTGCTATTTTGAAACAGGACTGTCTAGTAGTATACTTGTTTTGTTCAGTTAACTTGTTTAGTTAGACAGTGCTCCGAGCTCAACACATAATTATCTGACACTATGTGACAGTTACACTGCGGAACTTTAAAAAATAACCTTGACAGATCAACTGCGCAATATACCGGCTTATCGTCCCTGTTAAAACAGCATAGAACAAGGAAGTATTAGTGTTTGTGTATAAGTACGTACATGTAGATCAGCAATTACAACCAGGAATTGATCAGTTTACTTGGAGGGAAAGGGCTATAATAGAAGAAGGAGAGAAACAATGACTTGGTCGACAATGATAATACATCTGTATGTGTGCTTCTTTTGACAATCAGAAGTGTGGAGATACAGAGTTGACTTCCTAAAATCTCACCTCAAACATCAAGGTAAGATATAATGTAGTCACGCGAGAAAAGGTAGGGTGGCGTGGTGTGTGTAAGATGTGTAGGGTACAAGAGACGGTCCAGAGAGGTTGATGGGATGAGATGGGGTGGGTGGTGATTGTGGGAAAGTGTCCAACATATTTTTTGCAACAGGCAGCCCACAACAGTAGTTGAGTAAGATAGGGTTGGGTGGAATCCAGGAAGGTCTGTTTATCCTGTGCACAAGTATATCTAATTTCATAAAAAAAAAGTGGGTCTTATTACCAAATACATATGTGTATATACCTGCAGTAAAGGTATGTTTCATTACACAATATACAAGTTTATCTAACTACAATACAGGTGTCTTGTTACTTACAACACATGTATATCTATCTGCAATACAGGTGTGTCTTATTACCTAAAACACATGTATATCTACCTTCAGTACAGGTATGTATTATTACCTAAAACACATGTATATCTACCTTCAGTACAAGTATGTATTATCACCTAAAACACATGTATATCTACCTGCAGTACAAGTATGTAGCATTACCTAAAACACATGTATATCTACCTGCAGTACAAGTATGTATTATTACCTACAACATATGTATATCTACCTTCAGTTCAGGTATGTATTATTACCCAACATGGATTAGTATCAAATGCACAGGTATATTATGGAGATAAGCCCAAAACTACAATATATGTGTGAGAGAGGACAAATCGAGGCCCGTCAAGATGGATATCAAGATTGAATTAAACCTGCTATTTTGAAACAGGACTGTCTAGTAGTATACTTGTTTTGTTTAGTTATCTTGTTTAGTTAGACAGCGCTCCGAGCTCAACACATAATTATCTGACACTATGTGAAAGTTACACTGCGGAACTTTAAAAAATAACCTTGACAGATCAACTGCGCAATATACCGGCTTATCGTCCCTGTTAAAACAGCATAGAACAAGGAAGTATTAGTGTTTGTGTATAAGTACGTACATGTAGATCAGCAATTACAACCACGAATTGATCAGTTTACTTGGAGGGAAAGGGCTATAATAGAAGAAGGAGAGAAACAATGACTTGGTCGACAATGATAATACATCTGTATGTGTGCTTCTTTTGACAATCAGAAGTGTGGAGATACAGAGTTGACTTCCTAAAATCTCACCTCAAACATCAAGGTAAGATATAATGTAGTCACGCGAGAAAAGGTAGGGTGGCGTGGTGTGTGTAAGATGTGTAGGGTACAAGAGACGGTCCAGAGAGGTTGATGGGATGAGATGGGGTGGGTGGTGATTGTGGGAAAGTGTCCAACATATTTTTTGCAACAGGCAGCCCACAACAGTAGTTGAGTAAGATAGGGTTGGGTGGAATCCAGGAAGGTCTGTTTATCCTGTGCACAAGTATATCTAATTTCATAAAAAAAAAAGTGGGTCTTATTACCAAATACATATGTGTATATACCTGCAGTAAAGGTATGTTTCATTACACAATATACAAGTTTATCTAACTACAATACAGGTGTCTTGTTACTTACAACACATGTATATCTATCTGCAATATAGGTGTGTCTTATTACCTAAAACACATGTATATCTACCTTCAGTACAGGTATGTATTATTACCTAAAACACATGTATATCTACCTTCAGTACAAGTATGTATTATCACCTAAAACACATGTATATCTACCTGCAGTACAAGTATGTAGCATTACCTTAAACACATGTATATCTACCTGCAGTACAAGTATGTATTATTACCTAAAACATATGTATATCTACCTTCAGTTCAGGTATGTATTATTACCCAACATGGATTAGTATCAAATGCACAGGTATATTATGGAGATAAGCCCAAAACTACAATATATGTGTGAGAGAGGACAAATCGAGGCCCGTCAAGATGGATATCAAGATTGAATTAAACCTGCTATTTTGAAACAGGACTGTCTAGTAGTATACTTGTTTTGTTTAGTTATCTTGTTTAGTTAGACAGCGCTCCGAGCTCAACACATAATTATCTGACACTATGTGAAAGTTACACTGCGGAACTTTAAAAAATAACCTTGACAGATCAACTGCGCAATATACCGGCTTATCGTCCCTGTTAAAACAGCATAGAACAAGGAAGTATTAGTGTTTGTGTATAAGTACGTACATGTAGATCAGCAATTACAACCAGGAATTGATCAGTTTACTTGGAGGGAAAGGGCTATAATAGAAGAAGGAGAGAAACAATGACTTGGTCGACAATGATAATACATCTGTATGTGTGCTTCTTTTGACAATCAGAAGTGTGGAGATACAGAGTTGACTTCCTAAAATCTCACCTCAAACATCCAGGTAAGATATAATGTAGTCACGCGAGAAAAGGTAGGGTGGCGTGGTGTGTGTAAGATGTGTAGGGTACAAGAGACGGTCAATAGAGGTTGATGGGATGAGATGGGGTGGGTGGTGATTGTGGGAAAGTGTCCAACATATTTTTTGCAACAGGCAGCCCACAACAGTAGTTGAGTAAGATAGGGTTGGGTGGAATCCAGGAAGGTCTGTTTATCCTGTGCACAAGTATATCTAATTTCATAAAAAAAAGTAGGTCTTATTACCAAATACATATGTCTATATACCTGCAGTAAAGGTATGTTTCATTACAGAATATACAAGTTTATCTAACTACAATACAGGTGTCTTGTTACTTACAACACATGTATATCTATCTGCAATACAGGTATGCCTTATTACCTAAAACACATGTATATCTACCTGCAATACAGGTATGTATTATTACCTAAAACACGTGTATATCTACCTTCAGTACATGTATGTATTATCACCTAAAACACATGTAGATCTACCTTCAGTACAAGTATACGTGTATTATTACCTAAAACATATGTATATCTACCTGCAATACAGATAATCGTACGAACCATTATTTCTGAAATTGATCGCTGAATGTTTTAATAAGTTTACATTAAATTATTAAACAGATCGAGCATTTTGTATCAAAAATTGTTGCCAACAGTGCCCATGAAGATGGCTTCAGTTAACAGAATTAACTAAGACGTCAAATTCCTTATATTTGGATGTTGTTTTTAGTGTCCTATGAATGAGGTGCCAATCATGGGTTTTTTGTTGTTTTTTTTTTTTTTATAATTTAGACTGAAGCATGTGTATGTGCAGTTTGTATTTAAATGTCTCTAGATGCACGTCTGTAGATTAAGGGGAGGTAATTTGAAAGCAATTGAGAACGTGTTATCTGTAAATTTTATTGTTTATTTAGTGATTTTTTATTTCTGTGTCCTTAAACAGTTAAGTTATGAAATTCACACTAATTAGAAAAAAAGTTGTCAGAGACAGCTAAAGATCGTTAATATGACAAGCTAACATACAAGAGACAGTTTTAGCATCAGTTTGTTTTGCTGGATTATCTATCTATAAACAATCTGGGTCATATCCAGGATGTTATTAGTGTGACGTTTCTTTCTGGATCCGTCACTCGCGTAGAGAGAAATCCCGGTAAACGTCGGCTATCTACCGTAGCCCAGAAATGCCAATATGTACATATATACTATATACGCTACTATTTGGTAGCGTTTGTAACATCATTTTCACATGGACATTATTGAAACAACAAACTGTGACTTCAGACTGACGGTCTGCCTGACTGCTGACACCTAGTCACTAAATTCACAAATGCAACTTTACATGAATGACGTATAATACAGAGGATCGCGATAGGCAGTGTTATGTTATGAATATATAGAATATACTCTAAAATGATGTAGACACTCCGGCCATATAATAAAATCACTGCCATCAGATTCATGCACCGTCCTGGGTAATTCAGGATCGATCGTCTAATCTAGACTTTCAATCCCCGGTACATACACATGTCGACAGTATTTATTTCATTGTATGGGATGATAGCGCTTGAGCAGATACATGTTTTAACTCTTTATCGATAGAACAGTAATATCTTTAAGAGACATTTGAAATCTAGATATGCTATGTACCGTCACCGCGCTGGCATGCGCGGGGGTAGGGAAGGGACTCATGCAAAAAAAAAAAAAATACAGTAAGAACTTTGTGAAGAGTGTATTCATTGTTTAAATATTATCAGAGTTACTTCCCCTACATCATGCTATAAACTTTTAAAGCGTTTCGACGACAGCGACGGAACCGACATTGCAGACGACAGAGGAATTGAAGAGGATGAAGATTTCACTGCTAAATGGTTCCATAGGTGTATTTAAGATGCTAATTGACCTAACTTCTGTTTAACTTTTATAAATGAAGACATAGAGAGAAAAATAGTCAGGCTAAAGCATGAACTTTCATATCTGTAGTCCGTGTTTAAACAGCCTGTAGGCTGTACGTGGTCTGAGATCCCCATCACTGATCAGGTGGTCTTATTTATTTAACGGTTTTAAAGTCAACTTTAACGGTTTTTTCCCCTTTCAGCAGACGAGTCAGGCGGTCTTCATGTCCTGCCATATATATATGTGTGTGTGTTTACATCGTTAGCAGTATACTGTACTCTCAGTTTCAAAACAAAAGGATTGTGGAAGGGCACTGTCTTAAATTGTTGGAGAACGAACATTTTACATCCCTGGAGTCAGTCACACACAAATATGATGTTCCGTCAATAAGGGTATTTCGTAATGTGAAAAATGAAATCAGTGAAATGAAAATATATTTTGATATCGAACAAACTTGGAATACATTTGAGTGATAATATAAGGGAGGTAACTCTAATAGAAAACGACACTTTTCTCACTCATGCAGTAATATTTTGCATCTTGATTTGTTAGTCATTACAACATAAAAACTAAAATACTTTATTTTGAATAATTAAGTCGTATTTGTATAATTATCCAAGCTATATTTAGTATACTATAATAAAACACCAGGCATAAAATGGATTACTGAACAAAACTCTATCTGTGAAAAATGTCAACATAGGGGCTAGGTGTCTGCTAAAATGTGTATGCATTTTTCATGATTCATTATATTAGCTCACCATCCTCAGATTATTGGCTATTCAAAATGCCCTACATTCATAGTCTTTTGTCGTTTGCCAAAGTTTTTAAGGCTATTTCTTGAGAACATTGCATGGATCTTTCTCAAATTTCATTGGTAGATTCCCAATGGTCCCTGGTTGAGCCCATTTGATTTTGGGTCTAATAAGAAAAAGTAAATGGCCAACAGGAGGTCATCTAGGATTTTGACTTTGAAACTTTGTTATTGCTATTTATTGAGAAATACTTCATAGAACTTTCTCATCTTTCATGCATAAGCTCCTCTTGTTCTCTAGTTGTGCCCATTTGATTTTGGGACTGATCGAAAAAATAAACTGGCCAACAGACAGCCATCTTGGGATTTCGCAGAGTAAAGTTCGTTATCCCTATTAATTAAGAAGAACTGAATGGAACTCTTCTCAATTTCACATATACGTTCCCCTATGTCCCTAGTTGTGCTCATTTGCTTTAAGGTTTGATCATAAAGACGAAATGGCCAGCAGACAGCCATCTTGGATTAATCAAGTAAAGTTTGTTAAAGTAGATCTCTGATTTCATATGTAGGTTTTCCTTTTTCCCTATTAGTGCTCATTTGATTTTTTTGGACTGATAAGAAAAACAAAATGGCTGACAGGCTGCCATCTTGGATTGTCACATTTAAAAGTTTGTTATCACCCACTCTAAAGAATTCATGCATAGATCACTCTCCTGGAATTTTGTCTCGTTATTACCATTTCCAATATTTTATTTTAATTTTCATTTGTTTAAATTACAGCTTGCAGATATAGTTACAATCGTTAAATTTTTATGGACATAAAAAAAACACAAAATCAATGATATCAGGACACCTGGCCAGTGGACCAGTACTGTAACAATCATTTTCAGCCCACTTCCTTGGTCATATTATAAATATTGGAAGTCCACTTATTTATTTTTTTTTACCAGTCCTCTACTTGTTGTCCATTACCTTGACTTGGGGGAATGTAATCAATGCAGAAATGTAAGTTTCAGGATTGTCTATTTCATGACACTTCAAGAGTGCAAATGCACTATAATAGGGGTGTTTGTTTCATTGGACCAACATAGTTACAACTGGAGGCTCAATCTGAAATTAATTAAAAACATCTTAGTTTGATTAATTAATCTACAAGTTCTACTGCTCTGAGACCAGTTTGTCCATTTTTCATCAGTCTGTTCCTCTGTCTTCTGGCCTTTAGAATAAGCCACTTCTCCAGAAAGGATAATGATATTACAGATGCGGGATTTCCATATTTCCCTGGTTGGTTTGATTTTATATCAATATATGGAGTACATCATTTGATGTATTTTGTATTGTAATTGTGTAAAGTTTGGTGAAATTGTATTTCCTGAACAGCATATTTTGTTTTTAAGAAGTTAATGCCTTTTTCTTCAATATCAAATTTTGTTTTGAGATCTCTCTCAACTTAGACTTGACAATATTTAGAAGAGTTATTTTCCCTTAGTTATTTTAAGTATTTGAATCTAGTTCCATTATTTCCTTTATAGCTCACCTGGTCCGAAAGACCTATGGGCCTCTTGTTTATTGTTTGACAGCTTTGGTTCTCTTTAAAATTTTATGGGGTTTTTTTTCAAAAAAAATTATGTATTGCTGTTTTTTCAAATTGCTTAATGACTCGACAAGTTTTTCTTTTTTTTGTCTTCTTAGTAGGCTTTATTAAAACAACATAAACTGTGTTATTCCAGTGACATAATGATAAGGATTGTTTACTTTATTTCTATATTTGTATTTATTTTGGTAAAGGATATACATATACATGTAATTCTCTTCAATCGCATAAGAATGATATATATTGTTCTGACTTGTGGTACTCTTGTAATCTTTCCAGAAGTAGATTTTGATCAACTTTTTATCAAAATCAAACGAAACAAAGAAACAAAAAACAAAACAAACAAAAAAAAAAAAAAAAAAAAAAAAAACGGGAAAACAAAACAAAAAAAACAGGAAAACAAAATAGGATGCAGTTATTTTGAGATAAAATGTAAAATGGACGACATCAAGCAAACATAACATTTATATTTGCCTCCAATGTAAATTTTCATTATGTTTCCTTATCTTTTGAATAGGTTAAAGATGGCAGTGTGGTGAGTCACTATTGGTGATGAAACAGAAAGCACTTGTCCAGTAGAAAATTTGGTAAAACATTTGGTAAGTGACTGTAAAATATTGAGTGATCTGTGATATACCAGGTACGTCTATCTTCGTGTGAAAATCAAGGGAAGCAATTCTTATATAACATATATAGAAAAAAATTTATATGATGCAAGAAATATTGTGTAACATTTATCATTAGCAAATAGGTTTTAGTGTGGCTAATTTAATGCTATTGTTCTGGTGACTAGAAAAAGCATGTCCTGTTCTTAGAGCTAGAGCAATTACAAACAGGCGTGTCCTCGGTAAGTATGATCTTGTATCTGGTTGATGAATCTAGGTATTGATCTCTGCAGCCAAAGGCAATAATTGCTTGTTAGGCCATTGTGTTTGATCTATTGTCCTGTGCTGTCTGCTGTGCACCATGTGTAAACTTTCCATTCAAATGATTCCTTCTCATTAAGCAAAAGACCGAGGGTTCTTATATTTGGCCTGTAACATGTTGGGATAAAGGGCTGCTAAGTTTGTTAAAATTAATGAATGACTTTAACCAACATTAAAAGTCACACGAGCCAAATGTGTTGAAATCTTCAAACAACTTTCACAGTTACCAAAAGGCTCAGAGTGCTGATATTGGGTTTGTGGCATGCTGAGCTGAAGGGTTACCAATTGCATTCATGTGATTGACCTTGTCCAGTCTTAAAGGACACAAGGGGTCAAGTAGAGTAAAAGAGTTAAACAACTTCTTCTCAATAACCAAAAGGTCCAGGCTTTAGATATTGGATCTTTATCATACTTTAATCATGAACTTCCAAATTTGTTCAAATGATTGACCATGATCTACTTTCAAGATCTCTGGGATGAAAGGGGTCGAGACCTTAATAATTTCTTCTTTCAACAAGCAATAGGTCCGTGGTCATGGTATCTGTGTAGCAGCATGTATATGGAAGAGGATTTTATGTTTACAGAAAATGTCTTTCAGAACCTACAATGTCCTCTTTGTAAGCTTTAGAGTAGTTGAGCAATTCAGGCCTATTTGGCCTTTTTCTTATATATCTTTATACTCCGATGATTGTTAAGGCCTAGGGCCTCTTGTTATGTAATCTTCATATTACAAAGTCTTTGTATGTTCAAGGATGGTTAGATATTGTTTTTGCTATTTTCAGAAATTTTGGTGACCTAATTTTGAAAAATTCATATCCAGCATGTTCTGCTGAAGGCATATATAAAAGGTGAGTTTTGCATGTAATTAATTTTGGGAATTTGTCCAAGCTGTATCACCTGCACTACTTGTCACTGGAATGTCATATTTGCTGAGATGTGTTGTATCAAAAACATGTCACTCTGCATACATTTGACATTTGACCTACATTTAAAAAAAGGTTGTCTGGGCTCTATCTCCTACACTACTAGTCACAGGAAACAGGAACTTCATACTTCTGGTATGAGTTCATGTTGTTGAGGCTGTGAATTTGTCGGAGACTATAACTGGCAAAGTTATCTTGTTATGACTGCTGAATGAGGTGACAACAATGCAATCAAGGATAAATTCTGGAATGTACTAGAATATACATATATAAATATCATTATTTCACCCAACCTTACATTGTTTGTGTACCTTTCATTAGCTCGCCATCTGATGATGGTGGGTTATTTAAATATCCTACTTTTGTGATCTGTCACCCATCCAACATCTGTCAATCGTCTGTGAACAGCTCTTGCTATCGCTATTTCTTGATCTTTCTCAAAATCATACGTAGGTTTTCCTTAATCACTTGTTGTGCCCTTTTGTCATTTTATTTTGGGATTGATCAGAAAAAAACAAAATAGCTGTTAACAGCTGGTGGCCATCTTGAATTGTGACAATGAAAGTTGAAAAAAACAAAGTGGGTGATAAATAGCGTCTTGGATTTTTACTAAGAAAAGTTATTTCTCTTTCTTGAGAATTGATTGATCTTTCTCAAATTCCATATGTAGGTTTTCTTTCTAGTTCCAGCTCCTAGTTTTGCCTTTTTATTTTGGAACTGGTCAGAGAGACAACATGGCTGACAGTCATCTTGGATGTCCCAGTAAAAGATTATTATTGCTATTTCTTAAAAGGATTATTCAGATTTCATATAAGAGCAAAAATAGAAGAAACAAGAGAAAAGAAGGGAAAGATTTTAAAGAACAAATTAAAATCAAACAGTGGTGTACACCAATATACCTGTAGGGTCTTTCATTATTTTATGAGCGTGTAATTTTTTGTTACTTAAACCTCTACAAATATATATAACAAATTTATATAAAAAAAAAATTGTGTTTCTTTTCAGATTCCTCTGATCTTCACCATGGCAACACCAATTGGTCAAACCGCTTTCCGTCCTAAAGGTCAGAAAACATGTATTCAACATAAAGAGAAACCGCTGGAACTTTATTGTGAGAAATGTGATCAAATTATCTGCCTTACATGTTTACTGTCCATTCACAAAGGTCATGATGTTTGTGAACTCAGTGCAATTACTCCTCAAAAGAAACAAAATATTAAAAGTTTTATCGACAAAACAGAACAAAATGACCTGAAACAAGTCAGGGAATATATATCTTCTGTGGATACACTCCTTAAAAACAACACCAGCAATTTTGAGGAATTATCACTCAAACTAAAATCTCAAACGGATAAAATAAAACAAGACCTTGATTTGCTTACAGCACGTACACTCTCTGTTTACAAAAAGATGGAAGAGGACAATGCCAGGCTGATTCTAAAGTACAAAAAAGACCTGGAGACATACAACAAACAACTAAAACAACAACTACAGGAATGTAAGGTGGCCCTCCAGCATGGTTCTGATCTGGAAATCTACGACACAGAGTGTGAAGTACATACAATACATCTCCCAGTGAATCCTGTCCTGGGTACGGCCAGCTTCACACCTAACACAACTCCACAACATCATCTACAACTGGCCTTAGGGACAGTTACCACCTCAGGTCAAACATCAGCTGACCAGGATCGGTCAGTCTTAGCATCAGGTGACCAGGAACAATCCTCTAAACAACAACAAACAGGAGTAAAAGGGAAGAAAGCAGTGATAAGTAAAACACTACTGTCAGAGACCAAAGTGGTGAAGGAGTGGAAGTCTCCATGTGACATTGGGTCTATATGTCCCACCACTGATGGTCAGGTGTGGACCAGGGATTACAGGAAAACATTAACTCTCCTTAACAGGGAAGGTAAAGTAGTACAGAAGGTCACACACACGGCTGTCATCACTGACATCAGTCTATCACCCACAACACACACACTGTGGGTCTGTGACGAGGACAACAACATCATGGAGCTGGTATCAGGACGACTTACAAACAAATTCAGAACCAAGGAGAGACCCTGGTGTATATGTGTTACAGCCAGTAACCATATCATTGTGGGGATGAAGAAACACATCTGTAAATTTACTACACAAGGTCAAATGGTACTCACTACAATGGCTGTAGGGACTGGGAAACCATTAGTGTATACACCATGCAGGATGTCAGAGTGTCCAGTAACTCACAATGTCACAGTGATTGATATCAACATGGAACGTGACGGTGGTGATGGAAACAGACGTGTTGTTGTCATGGATACTGACTTCCAGGAAGTGTTTGTATATAGAGGTGACATCCCCAGTACATATAAACAAACACCACAAACAGGACGTGTAAGATTTGACCCCAGTGGTGTGGTGTATGACAGTGTGGGGAACCTCATCATAGGGGACTGTGACAACTGTAGGGTCCTACTCCTCAGTGGAGGTGGTGAGTTCCTCAGGATCATACACACAGACAGAGTGAGGACAGGGGCTGTAGGTATAGACAGGGACGATGTTCTGTGGGTAGTGTTTGGGGATAACAATGTAAAACTACTACAGTACAGTGTGTAACAGTACTACTACAGTGTGTGACAGTGTGTGTGTGACAGTACTAGTGTGTGTGACAGTACTACTACAGGACAGTGTGTGACATGTGTGACAGTACACAGTGTGTGACAGTGTGTGTGTGACAGTACAGTACACTACAGTACAGTGTGTGACAGTACTACTACAGTACAGTGTGTGACAGTACTACTACAGTACAGTGTGTGACAGTACTACTACAGTACAGTGTGTGACAGTACTACTACAGTACAGTGTGTGACAGTACTACTACAGTACAGTGTGTGACAGTACTACTAAAGTACAGTGTGTGACAGTACTACTACAGTACAGTGTGTGACAGTACTACTACAGTACAGTGTGTGACAGTACTACTACAGTACAGTGTGTGACAGATATATGTTACTCTGGTCAGTAACCATGGTAACTAACATTGTAATTAACATTTACATATCACAAAAACAATACCATTTAAATGAATGATTAGCAAAATACAAAATATATTAGTGTCAAAATTCACGGTTTTGGACAAAAACTTTTTAGCAATTCACTAATAAGTTATCCTGTTAATGATCCTGATTAGACAGAACCTAGGACATCACAATGTCTATCTTCAGGTCCTCAGTAGAATACCACTCAGCTGAAACCTTCACTTTGTAAACAACGTATGTGTGTGTAAAAATCAAAATGACATATACTTTAATGTGTAAAAACATTGCTGATTCCTCCGAGGGAAAACAGTGGTAAAAATCAACATTTCTGTTTAATATTTTTAGTCAATACCTTTGGATAATCTCCTTTTTAAAAGTAACTGTTTATATTAAATTATACTGTAACTCTATCTCTGTGTATTGTATGTTTTCCATTTAATCAGCAATAAAATACATAAAATTATATTTATACTTTGTTTTTTCTGTTTTTATATATTTTCTGTTGTATATGTGTCGGAAAATTCCGGAATGTGATTTAACATGATGTCAGAATACTTAGGTGTCAGACTATATAGGATGCTTGAATACTCAAAGTTGAGATTTAGTATGATGTCAGAATAGTCAGAGAGTAGATTTAAAAGGATGTTAGAACACTCAGGACTCAGATTTAAGGGGATATCAGAATACTCATGACTCGGATTTAACGGGATATCAGAATACTCGAGACAATGAGGAACTGACGCACATTTGACATGGAAAGGCTGAGCTCATCTGTTGGTCTGGTGTACATGCCCCATATTTTCAATATTTGTCACGGATACGCATTCCATAGATTTTTTTTAAAATAAAGAATGCACAAAATTGGACAAGATCTCGCCAATGATTGTTAAACGTGTTTATTACGATCACGTTGTGTCAAATGTATTTTGGGATCCTATATGAAACAATGAAGATTTATACATTTTTAAAAAGACATGAGTTAGATGTAAGATATCAGGTTGTTTGAGAATAATTAAGCATTGCTTTCTTATAACACGTATCAAGAATTTTCCCCTGTAAAATTGTCATATTGTAAAAAGAAAACGAAACAAAAAACGTACGAACTTAACCCAGCTACAAACTTTGAATGTACAGTTTCATCAGCACCGAAATGTGTCATTAGGACCAAATCCATAAAGTATTTGAAATGTAGTTGAAATACAATTATTTGTAACCTATAGGCGCACATGTTCAGAATAATGACGACATGGAGAGTTTTCTGTCGCGATGTGCAAATTTTGTCGCTTGAAAGTAAACCTTTTGCGTGAAAAAAAAACTTTCGCGCGCGCACCCACACCCTTTTTGTCTGTTTGTCTGTCTGTCTGGTTTCACCAAGGATTTAGACTTATCACTTCAGGATACTAATTTGCGATTTACGTGCAGGACGGTGATTGGCTGCTTTTGGTTCGTCTGGTCGTAGTTCATTTAAAATCATGACTACACATACTAACGTACACTTGTATAAGTTCTGACGAGATGCTAGGTTCGTCATTTATAATCTGTACAATTACCACTTATGTTGAACTTCAAGTATCAATGTTGTCAGCTAAAATGCTGCGTATTACCAATAGTTACAGACGACTGTTTAAGTTGTAAGAGTCGATGTGGAAAATTATTGACTTTTTTGTTGTTGTTTTAATTCTAATTTCAACTCCAGGTATGTGTTTTCAGCCACGTAAAAACTGAAATAGTGTTTTCTTTTTTTCAAAGATATTTAATTAAAGGAAAATCTCGTATCTATTTCATCTCTACTCTCACTTTCCCTCCCTATATGTATCTGTCCGCCTGTGTGGCTTTGTGTGTTTCTTCTCTCTGTCCTGCCGTATGTCTTTCATTGTGTATGTCACTCAGTCCAACTCTTTCTCTGATGTCTGTCTGTTTGTCTGCCTGTCTGCCTGCCCGTCCGTCCGTCCGTCCGTCCGTACACAAGTGCATCCATATCATACAGTTGTAATACATTTAGGAGACGGAACAATACAATATCACAAGTACATCCATATCATACAGTTGTAATACAGTTAGGAGACGGAACAATACAAATATCACAAGTACATCCATATCATACAGCTGTAATACAGTTAGGAGATGGGACAATACAAATATCACAAGAACATCCATATCATACAGTTGTAATACAGTTAGAAGTCGGAACAATACAAATATCACAAGTACATCCATATCATACAGTTGTAATACAGTCAGGAGACGGAACAATACAAATATCACAAGTACATCCATATCATACAGTTGTAATACAGTCAGGAGACGGAACAATACAAATATCACAAGTACATCTATAGCAAACAGTTGTAATACAGTTAGGAGACGGGATAATACAAATATCACAAGTACATCCATATCATACAGTTGTAATACAGTCAGGAGACGGAACAATACAAATATCACAAGTACATCCATATCATACAGTTGTAATATAGTTAGGAGACGAAACAATACAAATATCACAAGTACATCCATATCGTACTGTTGTAATACAGTTAGGAGACGGGATAATACAAATATCACAAGTATATCCATATCATACAGTTGTAATACAGTTAGGAGACGAGACAATACAAATATCACAAGTACATCCATATCATACAGTTGTAATACAGTTAGGAGACGCGACAATACAAATTTCACAAGTACATCCATTTCATACAGTTGAAATACATTTAGGAGACGGAACAATACAATATCACAAGTATCATACAGTTGTAATACAGTCAGGAGACGGAACAATACAAATATCACAAGTACATCCATATCATACAGTTGTAATACAGTCAGGAGACGGAACAATACAAATATCACAAGTACATCCATATCATACAGTTGTAATACAGTCAGGAGACGGAACAATACAAATATCACAAGTACATCTATATCATACAGTTGTAATACAGTTAGGAGACGGGATAATACAAATATCACAAGTACATCCATATCATACAGTTGTAATACAGTTAGGAGACGGGACAATACAAATATCACAAGTACATCCATATCATACATTTGTAATACAGTTAGGAGACGGAACAATACAAATATCACAAGTACATCCATATCATACAGTTGTAATACAGTCAGGAGACGGAACAATACAAATATCACAAGTACATCCATATCATACAGTTGTAATACAGTTAGGAGACGGGATAATACAAATATCACAAGTACATCTATATCATACAGTTGTAATACAGTTAGGAGACGGGATAATACAAATATCACAAGTACATCCATATCATACAGTTGTAATACAGTCAGGAGACGGAACAATACAAATATCACAAGTACATCCATATCATACAGTTGTAATACAGTTAGGAGACGGAACAATACAAATATCACAAGTACATCATATCATACAGTTGTAATACAGTTAGGAGACGGGATAATATCATACAGTTGTAATACAGTATCACAAGTTCATACAGTTGTACAGTAGGAAAACACAAGAAATAATAATCAATACAGCTATGGTAGGTTATATGTATCACAATCATATAATACAGTTGTAATACAGTCCGGAACGGTTAAATACAAATATCACAAGTACATCCACTACAGTTGTAACCATAATTATCAACATATAGCAAATTACAAGTACATTGTAATACAGTTGTAGCATAATACTTAACAATACAATATATCAGTAAGATAAAACATTGGGTAAGTATAGACGCCTGATAATACGGCTGTATACAGTAACATCATAATACAGGAATCATAACACAAACACAAATTAAATAAAACTAGGGCACAATACTGAATATTTAAAAGGAAACGAAATAATAAGTCAATACTGAGCAACTGGTAGGTCAGCTCCACTGACATTTCAATAATATTTTGCCAACTCAATAAGGTTCCAGGAAAACTCAATAAGTCAGTCCTATAGCTCAATAAGTCAGTTGTGAACAACTCAACAAGTCAGCTCAACTGATAGCAATAAGTCAGCTCTACTGACAAAAAAGTCAGCTCCACTGACAAATAGAAAGTTTAGCAACTGACATATCAATACCGTCAGCTCTACTGACAATCATAAGTCAAAATGCGCTCAGACAACTCAATAAGTCAGCTCCACTTTTTTTTTCAATAAGTCAAACTCTAAGTATGACAACTCAATAAGTCAGCTCCACTGACATCTCAATAAGTCAGCTCTACTGACAACTCAATAAGTTAGCTCTACTGACATCTCAATAAGTCAGCTCCACTGAGCAACTCAACAAGTCAGCTCCACTGACAACTCAATAAGTCAGCTCTACTGACAACTCAATAAGTCAGCTCTACTGACAACTCAATAAGTCAGCTCCACTGACAACTCAATAAGTCAGCTCCACTGACAACTCAATAAGTCAGCTCTACTGACAACTCAATAAGTCAGCTCTACTGACAACTCAATAAGTCAGCTCTACTGACAACTCAATAAGTCAGCTCTACTGACAACTCAATAAGTCTACTATACTGACATCTCAATAAGTCAGCTCAGATGACAACTCAATAAGTCAGCTCCACTGAGCAACTCAATAAGTC